TTTCTTGGCATAGATGAGTGAGTGCCTTCAGTGTTACATCAATCAGTTTGTTGGAAACTGTCAGTTTGTATTCCATCAATTCCCAGAGCCTTGTTCTTTGACAGTGTCTTCAGTGCACCTTGAACTTCTCCCATTAGTACTACTGGCTTTTGTTCATAGGCTACCTCTTGAAATGTCTGAACAATGACCATCACTTTTTGGTACAGTGACTGTGTGTATTCCTTCCATATATATTTTTTTAAGGTTTTTATTGTAGATTGAGGGAAAGTTTACAGGGCAGATCACCAGTATTACATTCAACAAATCATACAACTTGTTCATTACAATGATTATAATCCCCTCCAGGTACCATCAGTTAACAGTATTTCCATTTACTTTAGCTTTTTTGTTAAAACAAAACAAAAACTTAGGCATATATAATAATTACACCTCCAAAGGGTACATTCTGCAAGTCTGCCTCTTGCCCACCAGCTTAGTCCTCTCTTCCCATGACTCTAGAGTCCTCAGCCACTTCCCCCTCCATGACCCCATCTCTGCCTCCATCCTTGGCGTTGTTGCTTCTCTGGATAAGGTCCCACATTCTGCTTGTGCTCGTCTCCCTTGATGGTCTTAAGGTCTCCTTCCATATTCTTTTGATGTTTTCTACATCATTCAATATTTTGCCCATAGAAATCTTCAGTAGTGCAAGTTGAGGCTTACATTTTTTCTTTAGTTCTTTTACCTTAATGCTGAACCTGTTTTTTCCTTTTGGAAATAAAGACTTCAGGTCTTTGCATATTTTATTATAATACTTGACTTCTCAAGCCACCTTTTGAAATTTTGTTCAGTTCCTTGACCTCCTCATTTCTTTCACTTGCTTTAGCATCTCAACACTGGAAAGCAAGTTTTAGTCTCTTATTACATCCATTTTGGTCTTTTCTTTCTTTCTTGTATTCTTAATGTCCTTCTGCTTTCTAATGTATATCTAATGTATCATATCTGTTCTTGATATGATCTCTAAATTCAGGTGGGATATTTCAAGGTCATATTTTGGCTCTCATAAATTTGTTTTAATGTTCTTCAGCTTCAGCTTGAACCTGCATATGAGCAATTGATGGTCTGTTCCACAGTCTGCCCCTGGCCTTGTTCTGGATGATAGTGAGCTTTCCCACTATCTCTTCCCACAGATGTAGTGAATTTGATTTCTGTGTAGTCCACACTACTAGTAGCTATGTAAAATGCATATCTTACCTGTTTCTTAACTATTGACCATGTCTGAAAAGCCTGAAAAATCGCTGGTCTATGAGAGTTTTTAGAACTATTGCCAATATGTTGATATTTTAAAAATATTTTATTTATATTTTAAAAATTCTTGTTAAAATAAATGTCAGAAGAGACTCTGAAACTTGCTCTCCAGAGTAGAGGTACTAAAGCAAATGGAAGAAATGAGGAGATAAAAGAGCTGAACAGAAAATCTCAAAGGGTAGCTCAAGAAAACAAAGCCAAATATTATAATGAAATGTGCAAAGACCTGGATTTAGAAAACCAAAAGCAAAGAACACACTCAGCATTTCTCAAGCTGAGGGAAGTGAAGAAAAAATTCAAGCTTTGACTTGTATTGAAGGATTCTACAGGGAAAATATTGAATGATGCAGAAAGCATCAAAAAACTATGGAAGGGATACACAGAGTCACTGTACTAAAAAGTAATGGTCAATGTTCAGTCATTTCAACAGGTAGCATACAATCAATAGCCAATAGTACTAATGGGAGAAGTTCAAGGTGCACTGAAGATACTGGTAAAAGAACAGGGCTCTGGAATTGATGGAATACAAACTGAAAGTTTTCAACAAACTGATGCAGCACTGGAGGCACTCAGTCATCTATGCCAAGAAATTTGGAAGACAACTACCTGGTCAAGTGATTGGAAGAGATCCATATTTGTGCTTGTTCCAAAGAGAGGTGACCCAATGGAATGTGGAAATCATCAAACAATATTATTAATATCATATGCAAGTAAAATTTTGCTGAAGATACTTGAAAAACGGCTGCAGCAGTACATACACAGGTAGCTGACAGTAATTAAAGACGGATACAGAAGAGTATGTTAAATGAGTGATATCATGAACAAAGGATTTCATTGCTGACATCACATGGACCTTGGCTGAAAGCAGAAAATGCCAAAAAGATGTTTCTTTGTGATCTGTTGACTGCAGAGGCACTTAACTGTGTGGATCATAACAAACTATGGATAACATTGCAATAATGAGAATTCTAGAACATCTCATTGTGTTCATGTGGAACTTGTACATACACAAGAGGCCGAACAAAGGAAAATTGAGTAGTTTAAAATCACGAAAGGTGTGTGTCAGGGTTGTATCATTTCACCATACTTATTAAATCTGTATGCTGAGCAAATCATCTGAGGAGCTGGATTATATGAAGAAGAATGTGGCATCAAGATTGAAAAAAAGACTCATTAACAACCTACGCTATGCAGATGATACAACCTTGCTTGCTGAAAGCACAGAAATTGAAGTACTTACTGATGCAGATCAAAGAATAGGCCTTCAGTATGGAATACAACTTAATGTAAAGGAAACAAAAATCCTCACAGCTGGACCAATAGGCAGCATCATGATAAATGACGAAAAGATCAAAGTCTTTCATTTTACTTGGATCCACAATCAATGTTCATGGAAACAGCATTCAAAAAATTAAAGGTTCTACTGCATTGGGTAGATCTGCTCCAAAAGACCTCTTTAAAGTGTTAACAAGCAAAGATGTCACTTTGAGGACTAACATATGCTTGTCCCAAGCCATGGCATTTTTAATCACCTCATATGAATGTGAATGCAGGAAAAAGAATAAGGAAGACCAGAGAAAAAATGGTGCATTTGAATTATAATGTTGGTGAAGAATTTTTAAAGTACCAAGGACTACCAGAAGCACAAACAAATCTTTGTTGGAAGAAGTACAGCCAGAATGCCCTTTAGAAGCCAGGATGGCAAGACTCTCAGCTACTTTGGACATGTCATTAGGAGGGACCAGTCCCTGTAAAAGGACATCATTCTTGATAAAAGGTCATGACAAAAGAGAAAGAACCCCCAATGTGATGGACCGTCATAGTGGTTGCAATACTGAGTTTAACCATAACAAGTGTGCAGATGGTGTAGGACCAGGCAGTGTTCCTTCTGTTATGCATAGATTCACCATGAATTGGAGTCAACTCAACAGTACCAACAACACTTTCATGTGCCTGGTAATAAAGGTGAGTTTTATGATGAAGATAACCCAGATTCTAGGGTTGGATCTTTAAGATGATAACTAAAATCTTAAGTAGTACAGAAAGGTAAAGACTGTGAGCAATCAAAAGAGATTTATTTCCAATGAGGATGTTAAACACCACGTTGAGACATGGTAAATTATCTCCTGGGTAAGCCAAAGACTCTATTCATGTTGGTTCTGTATTCTCACCAGTCTGCAAAGGTTATGGAGTTGTGTGTCTGATTGAACCTACCTGCAAAGCTGGAATGTTAATAGGCTTATCTCCAAACATACCCAAAAAGCTAAGACTAATTCAGCATAGTTGGAATGAACTTTGTTGATCAAAGCTTATAATGATAGATACAAAACCAAACCAAACCCTACTTTTATTTTTAAAAAGGTGGGTGGTTGGGGGAGGCAATTATCCTTCCTGACTAGACTGACTAGATAGATAAGTTATTATGATACCGTGTATCTCTCTTCTCAGAAACAACTTCACAGCTACACATTTAATACTAATTTCATCATCATAATCTTTTCTCTCATGATTCTCTTCCTTTGTATTATTAACACTTTTACAAAGATTCATTTCAAAACAGATACCAGAGATTACGTCTAACACAAAACAGGGAAAAAACTTCTTATCTTTAAATACTTCAAGCTTCAATTCAGAAATGTGAAGTATAGTAATCATTATTAAAGTATATTATCACTTATTGAATTTAATCTATTCAATGTAAAGAAAACAAATATCCTCACTGCTGGACCAATAAACAACATCCATATAAATGGAGAAAAGATTGAAGTTGTCAAAGATTTCATTTTTCTTGGATCAACAATCAACACTCATAGAAGCAATAGTGAAGGAATCAAAGGACATATTGCATTAGGCAAATCTGCTGCACAAGACTTCTTTAAAGTGTTGAAGAGCAAAGATGTCAGTCTGAGGACTAAGGTGTGCCTGACTCAAGCCATGGTATTTTCAATAGCCTCATATGCATGCGAAAGGTGGGCAGTGAATAACACCACAGAAGAACTGGTGCATCTGAGTTATGGTGTTGGAGGAGAATATTAAAAATATCATGGACAGCCAAAAGAACAAACCAGTCTGTGTTGAAAGAAGTACAGCCAGAGTGCTTCTTGGAAGCCAGGTGGCCAAACTTTGTCTCTCATACTTTGGACATATTACCAGGAGGGACCAGTCCCTGGAGAAGGATATCATGTTTGCTAAAGTGGAGGGTCGGAGAAAAAGAGAAAGACCCCCAAAGATGGACTGGCATAGTGGCGGCAGCAATGAGCTCAGGCATAGCAACGATTGTGAGGTTGGCACAGGATCAGGCAGTGTTTCATTCTGTTGTGCACGAGTCACTATGAGTCAAGACCGATTTGATGACACCTAACAACAACAAACAGCAATTAATTTAACAAACATTTCTTGAGTGCTTTCTTTCTAAGTCAAGCACTGGGGATATAAAGAGGAAGAAAACAGAGACCCTGTCATCTAGAACTCTCTGATATGGGCAATCTACTGCTTTGCCAAGTTGACTTTGAAGTCACTTACTTTGGGGAACATTATGTTTGGCATCCCAAAAATAAAACAACCATGTCTTGAATAAATAAATGAATGAATGAACATATGAATGAATGAACTTTAATGGATACAAGATCTAACAAGCGGGACTTTCCTGTTTTTCTACTATTAGTCTAGTTCCCAGAGTAGATAGCATTCGCCTAGACATTTAATGTTGAACTTACCGGTTCCTCTGTGGGAGGCTCCTCCATATTTAGAGGCATTTTTGACTCAATGTCTTCCCACCCGGGAAGGTGGTTAGCAGCTGGGGTGTCAGTAACAATGCTACCACTTTGTACCTTGATGCCATTCACTGCGTGGCAGGTGGCTGCAACGTGGTGAAAGAAAAGACTCTTCTGTGGCATGGGCAGAAACCAGGCCACAGCAAAAGCCACAGAAACACAGGTAAGTGAGATGACGTTCAGGCTAAACAGGGACCAGCCTGCCACTGAGAAAAGGATTTGCCCCAGGATGGAGCCCACTGTGAAGCCCACCAACGTGGCACTTCGGCAGTAACTTGTGACTTTCTGGTACATGCCCAGGTCTACCACACTGTAGATGTAAGAGTAATAGGCAATTTCTGTAGCGGTGGCAATGCCATAGAAGAATTCTAAGAATTGAATGGCAAGCAGTCCTTGGGCATAGAGCAGCATGAACCATGTAACAATAAGGCTAAGTCCCTGCAGCAGAACAACAGGCTTGTAACGGAGGTAGTCGGTGGCAAGGAACACAGGAAACAGTAGCACCAGATAAGAGTAAGTCCATACTGGATAAATTCCATTGAAGACCTGGAGGAAAGAGAAGAATAGAAACCCATTAGTGACATCAAATGGACTAGCATAATAATTTATTCTTATAAAATCATCTACAAACGCTTCAAATACCTCATCCTACTCAACCACAGAACCCTGAACAACACAAACAGCAATTCTAATAATTATTTGTAATATCCTTCCTCACACCCACTACCATCCCATTTACCATGGCCTACTTCAAGGGCTTCCTCATCCAGGAAGTTTGCTGGAGCTGACTGTTCTTTTATTACAACATTCACAGTTCTCTATTGATACTTCTTTGTTTGTGTCAGCCTCCCCCAATACTTCATAGCACTAGTTCTCAAACCTGGCTGTATATCTCCCAGAGAACTTTTAGTAATATGGACACCCAGCCATAGACATTTATTTTAAAACTTCCCATAAGATTTTAATATGAGAGAAGGTGGTGAACCATTGCTTTAATGTTTCTTTAGAGGTGGACCCCATGTTTAGGTGTTCAACCTACCTAATATCAGTGTACTTTTTCGGAAGACACTGGGCTTAATAGGATCAACCACCAACACTCACGGAAGCAGCAGTCAAGAAATCAAAACAGTGTCACCAACAACACAGAATACCAGACCAAGCAGGCTCAGGGGATGGTGCTAGAACTCTGAACCACATAAAAAGGATTATTTAGAAGATTGGAAGGCTTACAGCTAGAATTTGTAGCTGAATCAAGAAATCCATTGCTTTCTAATTCAAGACGCTCAGCTGCTCCCAGAGCCACCATCTTGGGAGAGACCAAGTGGGGAAAGGATCAGAACAGCCACGAACGCCTGACAGAAGTGCGTTGACACAGGTGTGGACATTCTTTTCTTTTGGTATCTGTTCATGGGTCTCTGGCTATCTGTGCACCTCCATTCTGGTGACTAGAAGGGATGCCTGAGCGAATGGACACCCCACCCCCACCCCTGGAGGGTTTCTACTATGCAGGCCCACAGATCTCTTTGAAATTTAAAGTGACAGTTTACACTTAAAACCAAATGGCCACCACTCATCTGTCAGTTTGTCTTACTGTGGTGGCTTGTGAGCTGCTGTGATTCTGAAAGCTATGCCACCAATATTTTAAATACCACAAGGGTCACCCATGGTGGACAGTTTCAGATGAGCTTCCAGATGAAGACAGACTAGGATGAAAGAGTGACAAACTACTTCTGAATATTTAGTTACTTATGAATAGCAGAGAAACACTGTCAGATACAGTGCTGGAAAATGAGCCCCTCAGGTTGGAAGGCACTCAAAATGCGACTAAGGAAAAGCTGCCTCCTCAAAATAGAGTTAATACAGATAACGTGAATGGAGTAAAGCTTGTGGGAGAAAAGACGCAGGACCTTCATTTGCTGATGGGGCACAACTCAAAATGAAGAGAAACAGCTGTAAACATCCACTGAAAATAGGAATATGGAAATGTACGAAGTATGAATCTGGGAAAATTGGAAATTGTCAAAAATGAAACAGAATGCATAAACACCAATAACTTAGGTATTAGTGAGCTGAAATGGACTGGTATTGGACATTTTGAATCTGACAACCACATGATTTACTATGCTGGGAATGACAAATTGAAGAGGAATGGTTTTGCATTCACTGTCAAAAAGAACATATCCAGATCAGTCATGAGGTACAACGCTGTCTGTGATAGGATAATATCCATGCATCTACAGGGAAGCCCAGTTAATACCACTATTATTCAAATTTATGCACCAACCACTAAAGCCAGTGAGGATGAAATAGAAGAATTCTACCAACTTCTTCAATCTGAAATTGATCAAACATGCAATCAAGATGTATTGATCATTACTGGTGATTGGAATGCAAAGGTTGGGAGCAAAAAGGAAGGATCAGTAGCTGGAAAATATGGCCTTAGTGATAGAAATGATGCTGGAGAACACATGATAGAATTCTGCAAAACCAATGATTTGTTCATTTCAAATACGTTCCTTAGACAGCATAAGAGATGGCTATATACATGGACCTCACCAGATGGAATACATAGAAATCAAATTGACTACATCTGCAGAAAGAGACGATGGAAAAGGTTCATATCATCAGTGAAAACAAGGCCAGGGGCAGACTGTGAAACAGACCATCAATTACTCATATGCAAATTCAAACTGAAGCTGAAGAAAATGAAAACAATTCCACAAGAGCCAAAATATGACCTTGAATCATCTGAAGAACAGATTTGATACATTAAACACTAAAGACCGAAGACCAGAAGAATTGTGGGATGATAATCAAGAACATCATACATGAAGAAAGCAAAAAGTCATTGAGAAGACAAGAAAGAAGAAAAAGGTCAAAATGGATGTCAGAAGAGACACTGAAACTTGCTCTCCAGAGTAGAGATGCTAAAACAAATGGAAGAAATGAGGAGGTCCAATAGCCGAACAGAAAATTTCAAAGATCAGCTCGAGATTACAACAAAATGTGCAAAGATCTGGAATCAGCATTTCTCAAGTTGGGGAAACTGAAGAAAAAATTCAAGACTTGACTTTTGTTATGAAAGATTCTCTGGGCAAATTATTGAATAATCCAGAAAGCATCAAGAGAAGATAGAAGGAATACACAGAGTCACTGTACCAAAAGGAAATGGTTCATGTTCAACCATTTCAAGAGGTAGCATATGATCCAGAGTCAATGATACTGAAGGAGGAAGTCCAAAGTGCATTGAAGGAATTGGCAAAGAACAAGGCACCAGGAATCGATGGAATAAAAATTGAAATCTTTCAAGAAAGTGAGGCGGCACAGGAGGCACTCACTCATCTCTGTCAAGAAATTTGGAAGACAACTTTCTGGCCGACTGATTGGAAGAGATCCATATTTGTGCCCATTCCAAAGAGAGGTGACCCAATGGAATGCGGAAATCATCAGGCAATCTCTTTGATATCCCATGCAAGTAAAGTTTTACTAAAGGTAATACAGAAACGGCTATAATCATACATTGACAGAGAACTTCCAGAGGTTCAAGCCAGATTCATTAGAGGCCGTGGAACAAGGGATATCATTGCTGATGTAGCTTGGTAGAGTAGGTTTGGACGCATAGCGCTGTATAGGGTTTCCGAGGAGCAGCTGGTGAGCTTGAACCGCCGACCTTGCAGTTCAATCAGCTTTGTAGTCTGACGCATTAACCCACAGCACCCACCAGGAATCTATTGCGTTCCACTTTTTTAATGGATCTGAAGACTAGAAAATGAAATCTGAAACATAAACCACCTGGGGCAATGTGTATTAACCAAATTCATTGGACTGTCATTCTTATATTTCCAGTAACAATCATTAAAAGAGGTATTTATCTTTTCTTATATTACGCTGGTGTGACATAGTATAACTCTCAGGTATCCCCCTTTTGACCCCAGTGGAAATAGACCAGTTTTCCCAGTGCTCTAGGGGAATACCAGCTTTTCTGCAGGAGAAAGATAAGGCTTTCTGCTCATGTAGATTCACAGCCTCGGAAACCTTATGCAGGATCTCTATGAGTTGGAACTGATTCCACAGCACATAACCACCACTACAGAGGAATAAACAAGTAAACAATTATTTTCCAGTTCAGAGCACAACTTTCAAATAAAGCAATCTTCATTTTCTGAAATACACTCCAGACTTGATTTCTGCCCAGAGAAATATCAAGAGTGATTGTCTTAAATAGACTTTTCCTTCGTGAATTTTAGTCTAATTCAAATTTGTAAATCAGTTAGCAACTTCTACTCAATCAAGAAATTTTGTTGCCCCTGAATATGTGCATGAAAACATAACTGAGAATTGTAGAAATGATTCTTATTCAAAATGAGGAAATTTCAGGAACTGAGGAACGAGTGCACTTGGCTGGCATGACCACAATGTTAAGGCTTCTCTCCGTATAAAACCAAAGGAGCAAGGGTGACCTTGAATGAAAGCTATGGCAAGTGAAGACTTCCCTACAGGCTTCTCAGAGAGATGTGTTACAACAGTTTCCCACTCCTTTTTGGCAATAGTTTTGCAGCTAACTCTCCTCTTCAGTTTTCTTATGTTTGAAAATTGCCACCTCCATTTGACTCAGTGTGCTTCTTCATTGCACAGGTGCCTCAATGTTTCCTGCCAAACACAGCACCATGAAGCTACTAGCCTTTAACCTTCCCTTTAAAAATCTCTATCATCCCTCTAATACTTCACCGTCTTCTGTTTTCCACCACAACCTTGGAACTTTTCACCTTCATTCCAGTAATATTGTCTGTGCATTCTATATACCTTTCAAAAATGTTAATTATCAGCCCCCGACTCGAACGCCATGCTTTAGAATAGAATTCACTCCTTCACTACTGTAATATTGTCTGTGCATTCTATATACCTTTCAAAAATGTTAATTATCAGTCCCCGACTCAGGATGAACGCCATGTTTTAGAACAGAAATGTCCCATAGAGTTTTCTTGGCTGTAATCTTTACAGCAGCAGTTCACCAGGCCTTTGTTCTGCAGAGCTACTGGGTAGGTCTGAACTGTAACCTTTATATTAGCAGCTGATCGCAAACTGCTTGCACCAACCAGATTCCTTTAGTTGTCCCACAATGGTTAGCTGTCATTGTTTAAATCCCACCCTTTTAATTATGAATTTAAAGTATCAACACTTTGGAGTCTAATTCTACTCCTAATATAAAATCACGACTTAGATAAATAATGAAGATAAGGGCGAGTAACACAGTCAGCCTCCAATACCAACTAAAAAACAACAACACACACACACAAAAAAAAACAAGTAGGGAATAGAAGGTGAAGACCAGATGGAGTCTCTTATTTGTTTTAAATCAGACACCTGCATCCTCTTCCCTAAGAGTTATCGAATTAAAACTGAATGTTCCTCCAACATAGTTATCAGCATTACAACAGCATACCTCTATTGATATGCTATGGAATCCCTGATGGTGCAACGGTTGAGCACTGGGCTGCAAACTGAAAGGTTGGTAGTTCAAGTCCACCCAGCCATTCCATAGGACA